CTCTCTTGCTCTCTCTCTCTGTCAAATAAATAAATAAATAAATCTTTTTAAAAAAAGGCATTAGCATTCTAAAAAATAAAACAAAGCATATTTATTCAGCAAGATAATCCTGAAACTTCACAGTAAACCTACCTACCAGAAATTATGGAAGGAAATGTTACCAGATGAATTGCTAAATAGCAACTGCCTACTTTACTATCTGTATCATCAGATGTTTCTTACTAACAGATGACTGAATAATATCCAGTTCTTTGGCAGAGAATGTGGAGGTTCAGAAGACTGCAAATTCTAGAACCACCTCTACTATAGTATAAATATGGGCACTTCTCTTAGCCATAGTCATATCACAGCAGTTTTAACTACAAACTTATGGTAAATAAAAATGTTGTATGATTTTAAAAAACTATAAAGTATATATAATTTAAAGTATTATGTGTATATTAAGAAATAATCTTGTTACAATCAAATTTTCATGTTTATAAATGAGTCTATAGGCCTGTGTTCAAACAAGGAAAGTCTTGAACTGACCTTCATATCATACAATAACCAATTTTTAGAATTCCAAATATACAGCCTGTATAGAAGATGCCCTAACCTCTCTTTTCTGCAAGTTATCAATAGGATGCACTTTCAGAACCTCAGACAAAAATTAATCCTAACTTTATGGATATTATCAGAGGAAATTCCTTCAGTGTATGGACCCACCAGAGTGTGACATACAAATAGAGGGAAAATTTGCACCAGAAATACAGTAAGCCACCAGAGGGAAGGGGTTGGAGGGTTGGGCAAAACAGGTGAAGGGGAATAGGAGATGCAGGCTTCTAGCTGTGTAATTGATGTGGGAAACAAAGGCAAAATAAAAAAATTAAATTTCCTTACTATTTAAAGCCCAATGACAAGTCCTTGGAATAGGCAGAGTGATGTTCCTCTAGGAACTCAGCTGCCTTGATGTTAGTACTTTGGTAAGGGCAAGAGGAAACCTTAGCCCGACCCCCCGGGGATCCTGTGGTCTATTTTAATATATAAAAATTCCTTTGGAAACTTTTTATCTCTACTTCCCCACCAAGATATATGTTGTCAATCATCCCCCAAGCATATGGCCCACTGATATACATCTGAAGGGTCTCATGACTAAGGGTTTACTAGACAGTAATAAATGACCTTTTCCTAATAATAGCTAGCCCCCTCAAGCTCCTGGAAACCTTGCTTCCAAAATTCCTTAGAGACTTAAGCTATCCCTAACCCCCTCCCAACTTGAAAGTATATAACTGGCCACACCTCACAACCCCAGGGCAGCTTTTTCTGGCCACAGGTCCTGTCCCATGCTTTAATTAAACCACCTTTTTGCACCGAAGATGTCTCAAGAATTCTTTCTTGGCCGTCGGCTCTTAACCCCAACATTTCCCTACATCAGGATGAATAAATCATTGGAATAAAAGGGACTTAGGGAGTAAGTTAATGCATAGAAAATACAATGATACTGTAATAGCATTTTACACGGTAGCTACACTTGTGGTGAGCACAGCAGAACCTATAGAGAAGGTGAATCACTATGTTGTACAACTGAAACTAATATAACACTGTGAATCAACTCTACTCAAAAAAAAGGGGGGGTAAGCTAAAATCACGCTAACACACGCTGTGTCTAAAAACATTTTCAGCGCTCATTAACAAATCAGCATGTTCCCTCTAGCCACAGAATTCATAAACAGAAGCTACACAACTGGAGGGAAAAAAAAAGGAAGGGGACATCAGGACAAAGACCTCGAGAAATGGAGAGGGAAGATGTACAAAGTTTTTAAAGAAACATTAAATTCAGGGGTGCTTGGGTGGCTCAGTCGTTAAGCATCTGCCTTCGGCTCAGGTCATGA